AATGCTCACAAGAGGCACAAACATTTGAAACTGCCCCTCATGAACCTGTCACTTCAGCCAGGTTCCCAGTCATGTGCCACCTGGTTGAACCCTAAGAGCAGCTGGAGCCTGCCTCTGCCGTGGAGGCCACGGAACGCCGCATGGAGGCTGCAGAGCGCGCGTGGAGGCCGTGGGGCACAGTGTGGCAGGAGCCCCGGGGCATGGGTGTGCACGTGCGGGAGTCCAACTACAGCTCCCCCAGGAACCAGCACAACCCACCCTCGCGTAGCCCTGGCCTCGGTCCCCCACCGGCAGGACCAGGCTCTCCCGCCTGCAGGTCGCTGACTCACCTGCTGCCTCAGCTGGTCGTCGTAGCGCTGCCGGGCCAGCTTGTCCTGGTACTGGGCCCTCTGGGGAGGGAGAAAGCAGCGTGAACACAGCGCAGCTGGAGAAGCTGGTGGGCGACCCCCAACCAACATGTGGCCCCAGACCCGACTGGGCACCGGAGCCCCAAGAAGCCACGAGCCCCACGGGCGCTGTCCGCAAGGACACGTGCGCGGACACTCAGCACAGAGGGGTCCGCGGGCCTTAGGGGCTGTGCAGGGCCACCCCAGGTCCTCGAGGGTCAACAAGAGACCCCGCCTGCATGTGGGACCATGGCGCCCCGCAGCCCCCTCCTGGTCCCCAGGCCTCCGGGGGCCTGGGTGGCCCTGCAGCCCTTACGGCCTGGTGCTGCCGCGTCTCCTCGCTCAGCGTCTTCCTGCGCTCCTCAGCCTGCACGCGGATCTGCTCGCTCTTCAGCTGCTCCACGGCGGCTTCGTACTCCTGCGGACACACAGTGCTGAGGCCCAGACCCCAAGCCTCCTCTCAGGCTGGCAGCTCGGGCTCCCACTCCTAACAACCCCCTCCCACCCCTCCCCCTCCCCCCTGCTGGACCCCGTGTGCTCGGAGTGGACAGGTCTGGGCACAGGTCCTGCTGCGGGAGCTCACCCCTCTCCTGGGCACCTCCTCTCCCCTCGGCCACGGCCGGCCCGGCAGCACCAGCCCACCACTCACCTTGAGCTTGGACTGCTGCTCCAGCTGCAGCGTCTGCTCCTGCATCTGGGCCAGGCTCAGCGCCTCCTTGGCATGCCCTGCGGACGAGTGCGGGAGCCGGGCCTCAGGACACCTGGGTGCCAGGTGAGTCCATGCTGCCGAGAGGCTGTCAGCGAGACCACAGCTCGCCCACCCCCATCCTGGTCAGTGACTGTCGCCTATGTCTGCTCCACCCCCACCTCCCCTGCGAGGGCTCGTCCCCCGGGGGCCATCACATTCCGGAGGGTTCCATCAGAAAGGTGGACCTCGCCCCCTGAGGTCAACGCACAGTCCTTTCCCAATGAAACCAAAAGCAAGCCCGCAGCCAATGTCCTTTGCTTCTCACGGGCCATACATTTCTCTTAAGCCTCCGACAGGTGACGGACCTGCCATCAGGCACATGCAGGCAAGAAGGTGGATGAGAATTAGACTAGAAATGAGCCAGGAGCCCGGAGGCGGCTCTTCCCAGCGCGGGTGCACGAACACAGGTGCTCTGACACCGTCCACCTGCCTCCTTGCTCAGTGGAGGTCACACCTGTCCATGTCTGGGTTCTGGAAAGGAAACCAACTCCTGCTCCCCTGGGCTGAGGAGGTCCCCCCAGCACAGCTCGGTTGACCCCTGAACTCCGTGGGTCTGAGCTTCGCGGGTCCACGCACACGCGGTTTTTCTCGGTAGACAGTCGGTTCTCAGTACCCCTGGGTTTCTCCTCCGCGGATTCAGCCAACCATGGGCTGGAGACGTAAGTTTCTATCTGAGCGGTTGGGAAGCCGCCATACGTGGAGGGCGACTCGGGTTGTACAGGGCTCTCCGACTGCGCATGACGTCAGTTTAGAGTTTGGGGGTTTTTTTTGAGTTCAACTGCCACTGTGAGCACAGCCCACGCGTGAGACAGACGTGGCGGGAGCCTGGGCGTCTGCATGGGCCCAAGGACCCGCGGTTTGACACGGAGTCCGAGCTGGGGGAGGGCCTCCTGGAGCCACACTGCCAGGACCCCTCTGAGGCAGCACGAGGGCACCAGGGCCCCAGCCCGCTGCACTGGTGAGCATGGGAAGCCACGGAGCCGAAGGCTGAACCGACCACAGGAGCCCCTTTAAGAAGTGACTCTGACCGAGGGGGAGCCGAGAGCACAAGACAGAACGTGGATGCCCGGCTCACCACGCTGGGACTGAACCCCAGCCACCCGGCTTCCTCCTGTGACCTCTGGCAAGTCAGGTTCAGCTCTGAGCACCTCGGCTGACACT